GTATTTCATATGTAGGGTCTTTTAGTATTGTAACTTCTTACATAACTCTTCATATAAATATATTAATTTATATGAAGACCCAACCCTTTATATAAATATATTAATTTATATGAGAACACAACCCTTCAAATAAATTTATTAATTTATATGAAGACGTAACCCCTAATATAAATTTATTAATTTAATAAATTTGCATATGGATATGACTTTTTAAAAACACATCTCTTCATTTTAAAAATATTCCAACAGTTAATATAGCTGACTTGATGCCATTTTTCGCTATCTTGTCATTACTATGTTGTATAATTGTTAAGGTGGGAATACGGGCTGGTCTTGTAGGGCTAGCAGGCTTAAAAGGGCTAGCCCTAGAGGGTCAAAATTTTAAAAAATCCCAATTTGCTAGGTCCGGCCCTTAATCTAATGAGCTCAAGGCTAGCCTGCGGGCTTTCAGCCCGTTTAAGAAAAAATTTTATTTTTCATTTTTCTCACATTTTTATAAAAAAATAAAAATAAACCAATAAAATTATTAATAAAAGACATAAATATGAATAAAATTAAGTCACAAATACAAAAAAATCATTATATATAAATATCCATCAACATCTAAGAACATCTAAAATATTCATTAACAAGATAACAATATTTAAAAGTTTTATCTATAGTGTAAATGTGCAATAAACAAACACTGTCATTAATCTTTTGAAACTTCATCATCACCATAATCAATTACTCTTCTTTATAAGTATACTTTTCTTTCGTAACAAAAATATCAAGTTTTTTTTCTTTGTAGAAATTTCACTTTTAAATTTTGTAATCTAGCTATTATTTTACTTTAGTTTGAGAAACATTGTTATTGAAACTCATAAATTTCTAATTCAAATTATAGAATTACAAGTTATATACGTATAAAAATACTCTCTTATCAAATATATATAGTTTAAAAATATCAACACATATAATATAAATCAAATCATTATTAAATTCCAAATTAACCCATTTTTTAAAAATTTAATTGGACAAATTGTTGTCTAAAACTAAATAAATCAAACCATTATATGAAATTTAATTTTAAAATGATAATAATAACTAAATATTTGAAATATCATTAACAATGTAAAAAATTAATAATATTAGAATTACACAAAAAATTTTAAAAAAAAACAAAAAAAATTATAAAATGGTCTAAATGGGTTAGCCCTCGGCCCTACAGGGTCGACCCATTTAAGCCCTCAGTCCTTAGGGCCAGTCTTGTAGGGCCTATTTTCCATTTGAGGGAGAAAATTTTAAACTCAGCCCTCGTAATTTTCAAGTCTAAACGGGCCGCTATGACGGGCTTGGTTTATTTTCCCGGCTCTACCCATTGTGGGATTTTTTTAATAACTAATTGCTTATGTGAGACTACATAATATGGCTGTTCACATGATGAAATAGAACCACGATAGGTTTGTCCCGGTCTCATCCTGGTATATAAGGAGGGACTGGATTTCCATACCTTTCTATTTTTTTTGACAAATCATTGTAATTTTGAGCTTGGATTTTTTTTTTTGATGTTGAAATATTTGTTTTTTATTAGGCTTCTGAAGATAAAAATAGTTACAAAAATATTATCTAGAAAGCCCAATTATATAATGTAAAAAATGTAAAAACAAAATTGTAAAAAAAAAAACACTATACAATGGCTTTATAAATTTTTTTATTAAGAAAGGAGATCTTGTTGAGATAACACTACAACTTAAGAGCTGAAAATCATAATAGAAACTAATTATCATTATTATTATTAAGTACTTTTTTTTTAAAAAAAATCTTGGGATGAAACGGAATGGGATGACCTTATCACACGTCACGTCGCGTCCCGTCCCATCTCAATCATTGATTTGTCTCGTCTCATAGTGGTCTCATTCCATTTTTTTTTGTCATGTACTGTCCTGTCTTGAATTGGTCGGGATCAGGATGAGATGGTTGGGACAGGCCAAGCTGAACATCCCTACTGCATAGTAATTTTTTTTTAAAAAAATACATATATTTCTTCATTATTCTTCCCTAATAACACAACTGCATGAAAAAAATTTATTTCTTAGATCAATTAATATATGGAAACGCCTACATGATTCTTTAAATTTTCTTCATCATTAGTAAATTTCATCTCTCTAATTGTTTAATAATTTTTTATGAGAATTATCCTACAATCAGTATGGTACTGTTATCTGAATCAGCTTTGGACTTTAAATATGAAACTTTTAACCTTGTTTTATTCGGATTTTAGATTTTTATGTTCTAAGAATAGTTGTATAAAGTTGTTTTTCAAAACAAATTTTAGAAAACAAAAAGGGTTAATTAATCTGCAAGTCCTTATAGTTTCAACGAATTTTGAATCAGGTCCTTATAGTTTTTTTTCTTTTTATTAAGTCCTTATACTTTTACCTTTTTTTAATTAAGTCCTTGTATTTATTTTTCTTTTAATTAAGTCCTTATAATTTCACTAAATTTTAATCAGGTCCATGTAGTTTTAATTTTTATTTATTAATTAAATATAAGCTTAATTAAATAGATTAATACTGAAATATAAAATATTAATAATTAAATTAAATTAATAATTATGTAATAAAAAAGTAATAGAATTAATTAATTCAGGAAAAGTTTTTAGAACAATTAATTTTTTTGCTGAAAAAATTAAAATCATTATAATAATTCAATATCTTTAGAATATTATTGTTTATAAACTAATATCAAATAATATATACTACTTTATGTTTATATAATAGTACTATTAGAATTTATAAAATAAAGAATAAAAAATTCAGGGATTTAATTAAAAATAAGGTGAACTTATAAGGATTTGATAAAAAGAAAAATAAATGCAAGGACCTAATTAAAAATAGGTGAAAGTATAAGGACCTGATAAAAAGAAAAAAAACTATAAGGACCTGATTCAAAATTAATTGAAACTATAAGGAGTTGTGAATTAATTATCCCAAACAAAAATTAAAAAATATCTGCACTTTGAATGATTGCTGTAAAAAAAAAAAAAATCATATTTTACCAGATTGAGAATAGAGAGCAAGTTTCGACAAGTTTGAGTTCGGGAGGTTAGAGCTGGAGTGGTCAAGTTGTACGCCGCTTGTTGCTTGATTGTAGAAAACAAAGATAATTTTACAGTATAAAAAATAATATATATATATATATATATAAATCCATCCATCCATCCATCCATCTACCTATCTATAAGTTGTTCTGATTTTTTTATTTGTTAAGTAGATTCCTCTTTTTTTAATACAAAAATTTAATAAAGAATTAACTATCAAGCAAAGCTTTTTATTTTTAAAAACAGTTTTCTTGGAAATAGAAAAATCAAACAAGGCTTTTATTATTTGGGCCTTAGCAATTATGTTTCATTTATAAGGCTTGAATTATAAATTTTAGTTAATTAAGGAACCTAGAGTTACTACTATGCATTCTTAAATAATTCAAAGAAACCAAATGAAATTAGTTAATACTTTTAAAACATTCTAATCTTTATAAATATACCATTTATTAAATGCATTGGACTTTTTAAACCGGGAATAACTAAAATTAATGAGGATCAAATACTTTTTTAATTTTGTTAGGACATTTTCGGAATAAATAGATTAATTAGTTATAAGTGATATATCTTATAAATTGAAACATAAAACCTTTAAAAACATGCCTTATGATTATAAAGTAAAATTTCAAAGAAGGAGGTTGTATTTTGTCATTAAGGGGTAAAGTATGCATACATGGACTGACTAATAATTCATAATCATTAATATAAATAAAAGCTATTCCCTCCTATTTCTAATATAAAAATTGGCCGGGGAATTGTTTGCAAAAAAAAAGAAGCTTGGGGAATTAGATTTGGTATTAAATACTACATTCGGATCTTAATTAAGATCCAATTGACTAATTTAAAAAGATTAAGAAAGTTACTTAATTACTTTAAACTTTAAAATATTTATGTTTATGGTTTTTCTCCAAACTAATTTGCCTTACTTACAAATTGATATATAATCTAATGATATAGATGAGTATTTTAGAAAAATCATGTACCATATGCTATAATTAAAAAATTTGGTGACTTTCTTAATATCCCTAAATTAATCAATTAGGTCTTATATCAAGAAGCGGAGGTAGTATAAACAACTCAATTTAATGTCTATCATATTTATTTTTTTTTCAAATTAGTTTACCAAACTTATAAATCAAGTATATACAATTTAATGTTATATGGGAGTATACTAAGAAGATTAAGTCACATTTATTATAACTAATTAATTTATATAATTTTTTTAATTTATTCAGACTAGTTGCGTCCCTCTTATATTAAGAATCACGAAGAATAAGCCTTTTTGGGGGGGGGGGGATTTGAAGGTAAGTGTCGTGATAGAAATAAACCTTTCAACAACATCTACTCCTAGATTATTTCTCTTCCAAAAGCTCCTATACTAAATTTTCGATGCTCAGTTCTTAAAATTTAACAAGCACATAATTCGTGCAATTTCGAAGCTCATGTACGTCTCTACCAAATTCCGACACTTCATAAATGTGAGATCCTATCTCTCTTAAAATTGAGTTTTCTCATTCTGCATCTGTTTAATATTGCTCATTGCGAAGGTAAGTCTCTTAGGTTTGAAAACCCTAGTATCAATCAGATGAAGAAGAAAACAACGAAAGGCGTCAACTTATTCAAGTCACTTCCAACGTTTTACAGATAATTTACCATATAAATTTAGGCCTTTTTGGTCGATGATAGGGATTTTTATTTTGGCATATAATCTCAGTAAGATGAAGAAGCTAAGGACGCGTAAGCTTGTTTAATTAGGTTTTTAAAATAGTTTCCTGATTGTGACTCTGGTGGATTCTCACGTACGTGACATCGATCTAACCCTACTCTCTCTCTCTCTCTCCCCCCCCCCCCAATCTCTCTCATTGAAAGCGACCCCATAAATACATAATCATGTATTCTTGGTAAGCAACACTCTCTCTTTCTCTATGAGCCTTTCTTCTTCTTACCCCTCCTCCTCCTTCTATCTCTCTGTAACTCCACACTTCTCATAAATACTTTCTTTCTCCATGTTCTCGAATTAAGGCCATCTGAGTCATATACTGCTCTATCTTGAAAGCTTCTCGTAGCAACCTTTGTTATTTATGTGTGTGTACAGATATGTGCGTACACAGCGTATGAAAACTTGGCTTCTGTGAGTAGAGAGAAAAGCGAGCACGTGGAAAGAGACCGATTTGAGCTTGAATCATGCTTTGGGAGGACCTATCCAACATGGTTTTATGTGCTACAAGTAAGTTCAGATCTTCATCAGTTTACTCGGAAGTTTTGTATATTCTTTTGATAATATCAGTTGATCATCACGCACAAGAATATTATCTGGTGTGTGAATCCATATTCATCTCTTTTATTTGCGCAAATGTACGTGTTTATATGCTTTTTTATTTCTACTAGTTGAAGTTCAAGTGTTTGATGATTTGTGTTACTCTAGATGGATGAGTTTAATTATATTTTCTGCCTTGTTGGCTTGGAACTTTGCATTGAACTATTTTGATTATCCCGCGTCTTGAGTTTTAATGTTATTTGATATTTTCCCCCCCTTGTTTTCATCTGTGAGGTTTGCTATGTAATTAGTCATTTTCCAATGAGCGAGCAATTAGTCTTGTGAATGTCTTGTGGCTTTTCTAATCATTGATTGCTTAAAGTGACCTATCATGTGCAGTATGTAACTCTGATAAAAAAATTATTCCAAGCTGAATAATTCAACACAAGATTTAACTTAGCTTGTTCAGCCCTTTAATAAATTATAGTAAAATATTGCCACTGAACATCAATCCAACATGTAAAGAAAGAATCCAACACCCCACAGGAGCGTGAGTTTGAGTTTCTTGTCGTTACGAAAGCCAAGTTGGTCTATAAATTATACATACTACTTCTGTAACTATTCTTTAGTCTAAAAAGCCTTCTTAATCCAAGACAAAAAAAGCCTACTGCATATACGTGTACTCATTTCCAGTTTATTGAAACTTTCTTTCATGGCAAAAAAAATATAAATAAATACTACTGACATACATCGATCCTAGGAGAAGGAATTGATTTCAGGTTCGGCTTGATGCAAAAGCAAAAAATACTTTTAGGAGAAGTATCCCTATTCAAACCCGATACAATAATAATAGATATGAGATATTATATTAAGAGACTAATAATTTTAAAATTAAATGATCCAAGATATATTTTTAAAATTAATAGACCAAATTAAAACATATATATGCACACTCATAAAAATGCCTCATGATAAGGTTGATTTTTTTTTTTTCTATGGACTCCTCTTTCCATATCAACCGGACATATTCCACATGCATCACGACACACTAATTTCTATAATAAAGTTCCACAGGTTCATGGACTAACTATTTTTAATATATATTCAATCATTATTATGGCAAAGAACCCTGTTCACTGGGCTCCACTTGACCTGCCCCACCTATCATCAATGCTGTTGGGTTGTGTGGGACCCATGTATCCGCCTGTTTAACACACACCCACACGTTATAGGCGTAAATAAAAATCAAATTTGTATTCCTCATCTGCCGCATATCTTCAGCGTGGAAAAAAGGCGGAAGCAAAATGGGATTCTCTAAATGAGGGGTCATCTTTTGTACTTTCTTATGTTTTTGTCCTTTTGCTAATTGGGACATTAATGTGATTTGGATCTGGACCACTGCTGTGCATAGCGGCAATACGATAAAGATAAATAAGTGGCTTGAAAGCCAAACTTGGTGCCATGTGCTGCGCAGTCACCATGTGATGCAGATGATGGATGGGACAAACATCTTCTAGTTCATTTTTTAAAAAGATGATAAGAATAATAATGATGATAAAAGTTTTTCTTTCTTAAAAGAAAAATTTTAACAATTTTTCAAAAGTGAAAATAATAGTTTTTTTTTTTGGTCTACAGAATAGTGTATGATAGTAATTATTATGCCTCCTTTGATTGAGAGCCTACTTCTATGGATTCTAAATATGTTTTGGCGTGGTGGCTTTCTTGGAAGCTGTCTTATATATTGGGATTTTATTCCTGAGCTAAATAAAAACAATATGATTTATCAAAGTAGGGTGATCATTGTAATGTTAATTGCCCTATTGGGACATGAAACGTTATCCAGGGTTCGCTGTACAAAGAGACTTTTATAAGATTTTCTGATGTCTTGAGTTCATGAATTATCACCGCTCAAGAGTTCTTAGATTTGTTTCTTTATAGGAGATACAATTATCTGTCCTTGTTATGCTGAATTTTTCTTCATAGTTAAATTCTATTTTCGTAGCATCATGCCAATCATAGCTGTGATCCTATGTTTCAGTACAGCACTGTAACACCTATCTCCTCAATGTTGTACTTCAGGTCTAACATTAGGCTCACCATGCATGTTGGAGAATGTAATGCTGCCAGTGGGAATTGGGTTTTTATCAATATGGTTGATTCAAATTATAATAAAAGGTGTGGAATCGATCAGGAAGAGGAAGAACAAGGTCTCAGATCAAGACACAGAGATTCATCCCACCGTGCTGGAGTATGGTTTGGCTTGCAAAACCAGTATATTTTGCTGCACTTTACTTCTTGCAGTTCATATCTTGTTGCTTCTGATGGTGGTAAAAGGTGAGACTCAGTGCAACTCAAAACTTGTGGTTTTTACATCAGAGACAGTTCTGGTATTAGCATGGGCAATCACATTGATATCAGTGTGCAAGATGCCCAAAGTCAATGTAAAGTTCCCTTGGATGATAAGATCATGGTGGGTTTGCAGTTTTTTTTTGTGTATTATCAACTTAGCCTTTCATAGCCACTTCAGAATGAGCAAAAAGAAACAGATTGGATTGAGGGAATATGCAGATTTGCTTGGCCTTCTTGCTTCAACGATTCTATTGGGAATTTCAATATGGGGAAGAACTGGGATCGTGTTGATTGCCACGGATGGAATCTCTGAGCCACTCTTGAGTGAGAAAAGTGGCAAGGATTCAGAATCTCTCAAAAGGGAATCTTTATATGGGAAATCTACTTTCCTTCAACTCATTACATTCTCATGGCTCAATCCCTTGTTTGCGGTAGGGTATAAGAAGGCCCTTGAACAGAGTGACATTCCTGATGTTGCCATCGAAGATTCTGCGGAATTTCTATCTTCATCCTTTGATGAGAGCATAAGAAATGTCAAGGAGGCTGATGGGACCACAAATCCATCTATCTATAAGGCGATCTATCTATTTGCTAGGAAGAAGGCTCTGATCAATGCATGTTTTGCAGTGGTAAGTGCAGCAGCATCATATGTTGGCCCATACCTAATCACTGACTTTGTGAGTTTCCTAGCCGAGAAGGGAAGCCTTGGGTTGAATGAAGGATACTTGTTGTCACTTGGATTCTTATGTGCCAAAATGATTGAGACAATAACTCAGAGGCAATGGATTTTTGGCGCTCGACAAGCAGGTCTTCGCCTTAGAGTGGCATTGATATCACACATATATAAGAAGGGCTTGAATCTATCTAGTAAATCGCGCCAAAGACACAGCGGTGGTGAGATCATGAACTATATGAGTGTAGATGTGCAGAGAATCACAGACTTCATGTATTACATAAATGTCATATGGATGCTTCCAGTGCAAGTAACTTTAGCGGTCTGCATTTTGCACACGAACCTTGGCTTGGGTTCATTGGCTGCACTAGCTGCTACGCTGACAGTTATGGGTATGAACATACCTCTTACAAGAATACAGAAGAGATACCAATCTAAGATCATGGAGGCTAAGGATAATAGGATGAAAGCCACATCAGAAGTCCTTAGAAACATGAAGACCCTGAAACTTCAAGCTTGGGATACTGAATTCCAGAACAGGTTAGAAGAACTGAGGGCAACAGAATCCATCTGGTTATGGAAGTCATTAAGACAAGGAGCATTTTCTGCTTTTATTTTCTGGGGATCACCTACATTTATTTCCTTAGTAACCTTCTGGGTATGTATGTTGATGGGGATTGAACTAACAGCTGGAAGAGTTTTATCTGCATTCGCCACATTTCGGATGTTACAGGATCCTATATTTAACTTACCTGATTTACTCAACGTGGTCGCTCAAGGGAAAGTTTCGGTAGACAGAATTGCTTCTTATCTCAGGGAAGAGGAAGTTCAACATAATGCCATTGAGTATGTTCCAAGGGACCATACACAGTTTGATATAGTTATTGAAAAAGGAAGATTCAGCTGGGATTCTGAGCCAAGCAATCCAACCCTTGATGGAATAGATTTAAGAGTCAAAAGAGGAATGAAGGTAGCACTTTGTGGGACTGTAGGTTCTGGAAAGTCTAGCCTACTTTCTAGCATTTTGGGCGAAATGTATAAGCAGTCTGGGACTGTGAAGATCGGTGGAACAAAAGCTTATGTTCCGCAATCACCATGGATATTGACTGGGAATTTTAGGGACAATATCACCTTTGGAAAGGAATACAATAGTGTCAAGTATGAGAAGACTATTGAAGCATGTGCATTGATAAAGGACTTTGAGCTATTCTCCTGTGGTGACCTGACAGAGATTGGAGAAAGAGGGATCAATATGAGTGGAGGACAGAAGCAGAGGATACAAATAGCACGTTCAGTATATCAAGATGCCGATATATATCTCTTTGATGACCCTTTTAGTGCTGTTGATGCTCATACTGGAAGCCACCTCTTCAAGGTCAGACTTCTGTAGATTTATAAATCAAATTAACTCAGTCTAGTAAGTAATATTTTATATATTCTGCAGGAGTGCCTTATGGGGGTTCTCAGAGAAAAAACTATACTTTATGTTACCCACCAAGTAGAGTTTCTTCCAGCGGCAGACCTTATTCTGGTATGTGCAGGGTGATATTTTGTTTCTATATTTACTTCACCACAAATACAATGTGGCAATATATCAATTTATGTATTGAACTATTCTCTAGAAATCGATTTACTTGACATGTGATACAACCGACCTGTATATGGAAACAGGTGATGCAAAATGGAAGGATTGCACAAGCTGGAACATTTGAACAACTTCTAAAGCAAAATATTGGATTTGAAGTTTTAGTTGGAGCCCATAACCAAGCTTTAGAGTCAATTCTCATGGTTGAGAATTCAAGTAGAAAAACTCTAAACTCAGCACCCGAGGGTGAATCTAACGACAATTCTCAGTCAAATTCAGAACTTTCTCACACTCAACATAACATAGAGCAAGGAAGTCCGCCAGAGATCAATGAAAAAGAAGGTAAGCTTGTGCAAGATGAAGAAAGAGAAAGAGGAAGCATCTCAAGAGAAGTTTACTGGACCTATTTGACCACTGTCAAAGGGGGTGCTCTAGTTCCTCTCATACTTTTGGCTCAATCTTCATTCCAAGTACTTCAGGTTGCCAGTAACTATTGGATGGCTTGGGTTTGCCCTACATCAAGTGATGCCAAGCCTACATTTAAAATGGATTTCATACTACTTGTTTACATGGCACTTTCTGTTGGGAGTGCATTTTGCGTGCTCCTAAGAGCCATACTAGTGGCAAAAGCAGGACTTTGGACTGCACAGAAATTATTTATCAATATGCTGCATAGTATTCTTCGAGCACCAATGTCATTTTTTGATTCAACTCCACATGGCAGAATTTTGAACAGGGTAATGTGACCAATTGCTAGTTTCTAATATTTATTTTAGCATCTAGATATAGCCACTGATTTTTTTAAGAAAACTACTATAACATAGAGTAAATAATGTCTGTGTGGGGGAATGCATGTTACTTTCAAGCACAATTCCTGTAAGCGAAGGCATGCAAATAATATCTCAAGAGTTTGTTAAAGTTTCTAAATAATATCCGAGAGTCGTTTTCTTCAAAGTGATTCATAGACTCAGAATTTTTTTTGCAGGCCTCCACAGATCAAAGTGTGCTAGATTTGGAAATGGCAACCAAGTTAGGATGGTGTGCTTTCTCAATAATACAGATTCTGGGTACCATTGCAGTGATGTCACAGGTGGCATGGCAAGTATTTGTCATCTTCATTCCAGTAACTGCAGTCTGCGTATGGTATCAAGTATGAGATCCTTTCTTTATGGTTTCAGTTCCTATAAAATACTACCTTTGCTCCTTAATATAGGAACTACTTTGGGTTGGATTTAGTCTTAAATATGAGACCCTAAGCCATTTTATCTCTTATATTTATCAGTTTTTCCAAACTAATTTAACTAACATATGAATTGATATATGATCTAATATTATATAGCAGTATTTTATGGAAATATATCACATTTGTTGTAATTAACTAATTTAATTGACTTCTTCAATCTGCCTAAATTAGTTAAGTAGCTCAAATTGATGTTGAATGGTGCTTCTTTCTGCAATCTTGTACAATATTAGCTGCGTGATATCCTGGCTAATGTTCAAGTATTCTTATTTCAGAGATACTATACACCAACAGCAAGAGAACTGGCTCGCCTGTCACAAATACAAATAGCTCCAATTCTGCACCATTTTGCAGAATCATTGGCAGGAGTAGCATCAATTCGAGCTTTTGATCAAGAAGGCCGTTTTGTATATTCAAATCTTGAGCTCATTGACAGCTACTCAAAACCGTGGTTCCATAACGTATCTGCAATGGAATGGCTTTCTTACAGATTGAATTTACTATCCAATTTTGTTTTTGCCTTCTCACTGGTTTTGCTTGTGGTCCTCCCAGAAGGAATCATCAATCCAAGTAAGCAGAACTCTTTGCTTTACAATTGCTTTATCATATGAATAAGTTTGAAATCTTTACTGCAAGAGAAGTAGTATGATGACATCATTTTAAAGATTATACAGCCATTGGAGGCGATGATAGTTCTCAATAGAGCACTTATTCCTTCAAGCAACTCTTTTCTACAGGCATTGCAGGGTTGGCAGTAACTTATGGGATCAATTTGAATGTCCTGCAAGCTTCAGTCATATGGAATATATGTAATGCAGAAAATAAGATGATATCTGTTGAAAGAATTATTCAGTACTCAAATATCAAAAGTGAAGCAGCTCTTGTAATTGAAGATTCTCGGCCTCCAAACAACTGGCCTGAAATTGGAACAATATGTTTCAAAAATCTGCAGGTTAGAGATCACAGACCAACCTAAACATGAACATAAATATATACAAGTTCAATGTGCTCAAGTGTTTTCTACTATCTCTTCTGCTACATAATCATGCTTGGCAGATACGTTATGCGGAACATCTGCCCTCTGTTCTGAAAAGCATCAATTGCACATTTCCGGGAAGAAAGAAAATTGGTGTCGTGGGACGAACTGGAAGTGGAAAATCAACCTTAATACAGGCCATTTTCAGGATTGTTGAACCTTGGGAAGGAAGCATCGTAATTGATGATTTGGATATATGCAAGATTGGTCTACATGACTTAAGGTTGAGGCTTAGCATCATTCCACAAGATCCCACAATGTTTGAAGGCACAGTTAGAGGAAACTTGGACCCACTAGAGCAACACTCCGACAAGGAAGTGTGGGAGGTGAATAACTAAACCAAACAGTAAAAAACAAGAATAGTTAGGATGCTGTTATATACGCCCACATAAATATATTGCATGCTTATTCTAGAGGTCAAATAGTTAACAATATTATTAAAACCTTTCTACTATTTTAGGAAGGTTTGTGTATGTTTTGAAAACAGAAGGGGAATTTGTATAATTTCAACAAAACTAATTCAAGATCAGTATAATTTACTATTTATTTCACGGGATCTATGTGTAAGTTTTTAATGTGAAAGAAAGGTCTGAGTAGCTTCAACAAAGCTCAAGGCAGGTTTGTATCGGTTTTGAAAACAAATGAGAAGTCTATGTAGTTTCAACAAAATCTAACGAAATCTATGTAGTTTAATCTGTATATGTACTACATTATTATTCTAGAGATTAAATATAATCTTGCAAGTTTTTTAATATTGAGCTGTGTGAAGTTGGTTGCTGGTATATCAGAAAGCTTTTTATTCCTTAAGATTGAAACTTTTTCCCTAATATGTAAACAAATCCTTCACCTTCAGGCTTTGGATAAATGTCAGCTTGGTCAGCTCGTGAGATCAAAGCAAGAGAAATTGCAAGCCTCAGGTTCGATTCATCGACTCATAGGATTTTTGCAATTTTATCAATCAACCTTCCCGGTACCAATCATTTCTAAAATGATTGACTGTATTATTATCAGTGGTTGAAAATGGAGAAAACTGGAGTGCAGGCCAAAGGCAACTATTTTGCCTTGGAAGGGCCTTACTGAAGAAGAGTAGCATACTTGTGCTGGATGAAGCAACGGCATCAGTTGATTCTGCAACAGATGGAGTGATACAGAAGATCATCGGTCAAGAATTCAAAGATAGAACTGTCGTCACAATAGCTCATCGAATCCACACTGTTATCGATAGCGATTTGGTTTTGGTTCTAAGTGATGGTAAGTCAAACACGTCATTGACAAGTGAAGACACACTGACATATCCACAAGCACATACTCAGTAAAATTATGAGTAGGTTACACATATTTCTCTAGTTTCATTAAAAAGATACATGGATTTTTCTTTTATTCTGAGGACCTACACTAACTTGTAAAGTATGCACATTCACAAGTTTTATTAAAATCACCTAGAATTCTCTTCTATTTTCAAAATGTACCCAAGCTTTTTCTGAAATAGAGAAGAGGTGCATGTACAATTTTTGTAAAAGCTAGTCATGTTTACAGTTTACTCTTATTTCAAGGGGGGGTTGTGAATGATTTAAAAACAGAAACTTAATTTGTGTAATTTACCTTCTGAGTGTAGAAGAAATGAGTCTATATTTTGAAAATATGAGAGATTGATGTAGTTTAACCAAAAATTACCGAAACTCTGTCCCATTTACTCTCAAATCATTAATCCACTTGTCTGATATGTTTGACAGGAAAAATCGCACAGTTCGATGCGCCATCGAAGTTACTTGAAAGAGAAGATTCCTTCTTTTCCAAACTCATAAGGGAGTACTCAAGAAGGTCACAAAGTTTCATTAGCTTGGCCACTCAAAATGGCCAATGAATATAATAAGTTGAACAGCATAAGGAATTCAATCTATTGGATATGGCCCCAGTTAGTCACATTTAAGGCCACTGATTAGTAGGCATTTGAAATGGCCCCAAAGTGAAAAAAGAAAAGGAAAATTCTGAAGCAGCAATGGCTTCATTCTGTATTGCTTTAGTTATTTGGAGGCTTATGTTCAGGGGAATATATCACAGAAGCATTAAAGCTTCTTATTCTTATGTTGTACTCATGATATATGTAGTTTAGGTTAGATGATTTGGGTTGAGTTGGGCGCTGTAGATGCAATTTGGTTTTTAAGCTTAATTATTGGAGAAGCTATTATGCATGTGTAAGTCTTTAATAATCTGGATCTTTTGCATCAATGGCAATCACAGAGAGACAAGCTCCATAGAAATAACAGATCTCATGTTTATTTATTTCTTTCATTGATGGCATGTTTTGCAGAGAGAAGATAGGTATCCAAAACTCAGTTTTGCATTGTAGAAGCAAGAAGGTATAACTGCACAAGACCTCTCTTCTCTTACTTCTTTCCTTGTTTCTTTCCTTTTCTTTTTTTTTGATGCCACGGGTATTATTCTGTTAGGGGCAATCTTGTGTTTTTGTTTTGCCTTTTATTTTTGATGTTATGTTTGGCAAAAGTCTAAAAGAGAAATATTTTTAGAGCAAGGAAAAAACCATAATATAGAATAAAATCTTTTGACGGAAAAATTTAATAAAAGATATTCAATAGATATAAAATGCAAATTTGCTCCGGAAATACATGGCCTCTAAAAGTTTTTCGAGTTCCAATGTCAGCCCGAAGGTTACAAAAACATGGCAATATCGTGGTGGCAGTTAATCCCATTAACTTTGAAGGTTAGTTTGACCAGATAGCTTATACGACATGCCACCTCATCATTTCTCCCTCCCTCCCATCCACATCACCTTCCACCTCGTCATCACTACCTCGCTCTTCCTTTCAAGTTCCAGAAATCCTCCCAAGTTCTTTGACTCAAGTCGTGCTTCAAGATCCAGCCACCTAAGTCGTGTTTCAAGCGAGGTCACCGTCTTTTCTGGACCAGAGGAGTTCGATCGAAGAGGAGAGCTAAGAGAGTTCCACCTCATTGACTCTAATCAGGTCGTGCTTCGAGATCCCTTCACCCCTCGTCCAGGAGACCCCTTCCCATCAGATGTCAGGGAATGTGGAAGAGTTAGCCGAGTTCCTCTGGTCGGACACCGACGATTTAGAGGATTACTCGGAGAATCCGACTGGATAGAGAAAGGCCATTGGCATAGCGGACTTCGATTTGTATTTCGAGAGATACCCGCCACTGGAAAAGAAACACAAGTGAATGTCCGGTCAGTGCTTGAATGAGCGAGCAGCATAATTGGTTAGAAAAATTCGGCAGCTGCTTAGAACACTCACCATACCCGCTTTCTGTTCTTATTTTGATTCTGTTGTTGCCCCGGAAATTAGATTGTTTGTTTATTTGTTCACCCCACAATTGGTAGCTTCTGATTGTTTTTTCCGGGTTCACGTTTCCAATAAATTTCCGATTGTTTATTCCGGATGCTTTAATACATTTTTTTTTTGGGTGAATTTACAGGAAGCATCTGATGGGCGTACATGAAGCTCTGGTGTAGGTTTTTTCCATCCCTCTTTGACTGTTGCATTCTTCATCTATCTTCTTGTTTGCTTTATTTAATTCGATTGCGCTTATCATATACATAACGTAAGATAGCAGTTGTTAGGGAAGTCTGAGAAGTGTGCCATTCTTCTTATCTGCACTTGCTAATCACATGTTTTTAATAATTTAATATTTGATAGTATAAATATTATTGTTTATAAATCTTCAAACACAATGTACAAGTCAACTTTTGAAATTTACAAATCCTCTGGAAATTTATAAGATAACTAGTACTATTATTTAGAACTTAATATGTAATAATTTACAAATATTTTTCCAAAATTTGGAAACCTTCCTTTAACAGTTTATAGTTCAACTAATGTACTGGTGAATGTGTTTCTCACACTATCTGATTTGTAACTTAAAATTGTGTGATAAATTATTAATCTTCCTCCAAAATTGGAGTCTTCCTCCAGAAATTTACAACTGGAGGGGAAAAAAAATACATTAACTCATAAGTCACTACTTAATTTTTGATTACATATACCTAATTACCAGATAGCAAGTCAAAGAGGTTGATTAAAATAGTATTTTGCTATTTTCTCTCATATTACTGTTTTTTTTTTGGTAAGTATATGTATCTCCTATTAGAAGTAATTTTACTCGATACACTATCAGGCACTAAATATGAGTACTTTTTTCAACAAGAATTTGAACCTTGACCCAACCCATCACGTTACGGGAGATTAGCACCTTCTGCCAAACCCAACCCCGTTGGTTTCCCCTAATATTACTTAAATATTAAGGATAAAAATTAAGATGTTATGGTCCAAGTCTTCAAACATATTGCTTCAAGCCTACTGCCTTTTTTTTTTTTTGGTACCTTCACTTTTGATAAAGGCCCATTATGATCACTTTGGCCCAAGTCATTTTCGAGATCTTCCTCTTTATATCCACTATAATCGTAACATCCTAGCTTCTCATTAAAGGATTTACATGTGTTTAAACTTGATTTAATGGGGTTTTGATGTGTGCTAAAGGATGACTAAGGTATTGGAAAAGTCACGGTTAAGTAGGAGGTCGAGTTGTGGGAGTTATACCTATCTTGTGTCTTTCGCTGCGATGAATGTGACAGCATATGTGGAGAAGTTCTCTATGTCTTTCGCTACTATGAAGGGCATTTTTCGCCGATGAACATTACAGAATGAGGGAGGAGATTTGTTGTATCTTTCTTCACAGCATAGCGAATGCCATAGAAACAAGTGTCAAGTCTGTGTTGTTTGCTGTCAAGAATATAATGTGTTAGAATTTAAAATTTCTCATGTGTTTATGTCATTTGTTGCAGCAAATGCTTGAAAATGCTGATATAAGGAGAAGGATAGGGAAAATAAAGGACTCTACTAGGGTTTGTGTTTTTCGATCCTGAGTTGTAATAAAAGAGGAGAAAATGAAAGGTGAATGGATTAATTCATTAACGATGTGAAGTATATCATATATGGAGACACCTGTAGCTTACATGTCCATAGCTCAACTTAGCCAAATGAGTTACAACAGAAACTATAAGTTACAACTAAGCAGTAGCTAATACTTCTAGAATATCTTTATTCTAATATCTTCCCTTAAACCAAACTACCCTTTTGGGCGACCTTGGCTTGTATTCCTAAGTATTTACGAAACTCAGAGAAAAAAAAATGAGATAGAGGTTTTGGGAACCCATCAGCCACTTGATCTATATTTCGAACATGTTGAACCAAGAACTCTTTTTTGATAGCTCTTTCTCACACAAAGTGGAGGTCAAGCTCATTATGCTTTGTTCTAGCATGTAAAATTGGATTTGTTGTCATCATTACTATGCTTAGATCATCACATAGTACTCGAGCTAGTTTAGTAAGATTTATATGTAAATCTTGAAGAAGTAACTTGATTCATAAAATTTCTGACACAACAGAAGTTGTGCTCCTGTATTCTGCCTCAATACTTGATCTTGCAACTATAACCTGCTTCTTAGAGGACCAAGCAATGAGATTACTACCAAAATAAACACAAACTAGAGGTGCTCCTTCAGTCATTTGCCCAACCAGCATCATAATAAGTGGTGATTGTTCTGCTAAGAGAAGGACTAATGATAATGCCATAATGTAATGAACCAACAAGATACCTTAAAATTCTCTTAGCAACCTTCCAATGAACAACAAGAGGCATGTGCATAAACTGACAAACTTTATTAACAGCAAAACTAATCTCTAGCCAAGTTATGGTAGCATATTGCAAAGCTCCAACTATGGACCTATAAAACTGAGGACTAGACATTAGATCAAATCCAGTCTTAGCAAGTTTAAGTCCCATTGTCATTGGTGTAACCTAACTTTAGCATTGCTCATATTTGCACAAAATAGAATATCTTTTAGATATTTAGTTTGCACTAGCTATAAAGCACCATTAGTCAACTGTTTACCCTCAATTCCTAACAAATAATTCAAGGAACCAAGATCTTTTAGAGAAAACTCATGATTAAGATCAATGATAAGATGTAAAATGAAACATCCTTCCTTAAATCCTTTTAGTATGCGTCTGAAAGTATTACGGTTCAATCAGATCATGAAAGAAGCTCGTAGATTGAAAATTTGAAATTTGTTTCTTAGAGAATTTTGAAAATGTGAAATAGTTAAGTTATTCATTACATTTTAGTTCATTGTTTGATTCTAGTTGAGTATTTGTTGATATATTAGATGATTGAATAAGAATTGGATATTAGTGTTAGGATAAATGTCTTGAAATGGTTCTGCATATTCTTCTGTCTCTATTGGTTGATTTGCGTTTGTAAATTGCGTGGAGGTTGTAAAGGAAATTCACGTAGTATTAAAAAAAATACTCTTGTTTTTAACAGCAGTTATACATATAACTACCGTTAAAATCATTTTTAAAGGTGGTTATTTGTATAACCATCATTACATATAGTCTTTCCACAGTGGTTTGATCAATAAAACCACTGTGGAAAGTAAACTGCCGTAGAAAGTTATTTTTCACGACGGTTTTAAACCACCATGTTTTATTCTCCTTATAACATCGACATAATTCATGTCACTTCCAAAACTGTTGTGGAAAACTCATTTTAACCATTGTTAAAAGCCTTCTTAGTAGTTTTAAGATCAAAATAATCAAAAACAAAATCCTCGCTATTTAACTTGATTCGGTCAAAATATAGGGTCATAAGGCCCAAAATTCTATTTTCAATTCTAATGCTTTCGAACTTGTTTTCTCATTTATACCCTACACAAGTTCTCACTCTAAACTTATTGGAAGTATCAAAATCATAAAAATTCTAACCCTAACTAAAACCATGGGTTTTTATCCTTTAACCCTAATCATAAAGTTACTCAAGTTAGGAAGAAGTGGAGTTTCTTACAAATTTATCAGATAACCACTTGATTCATGTTCTGTTTTAGCCTTTAATCCTTAATTTAACTTTGATCAATTCTTTCCTCTACTAATCTAGATCTGGGCAGCATCTCATCATGGGTTTTTGTCCTCTGGAAACTCAACAAGATCCGCAGCCAAGCTTAGAAAGAAGTAGGAAAGTATAGACTACAACAAAAACTATGATCATACCTTATTTTGAAGCTTGGACTTGCATGGAACCACTTGTTCTTCTTCTTCTCACTTCTTTCCTTTGTGGGTTCGGTCTCCCTTTTTTCTTTGCTCTTATGGCTGAAAGCTCCCTACACAAGGGAGGGAAGGAGATATTTCTAATTATTTAGTTGGATCTTGGCCCTTGATCTTGCCTCAAATTACAATGGTTGTGTGGCTCAGGATCTAAC